GTGTACTTGAGCACGCGCCACGCCACGTGCCGCTCCAGCGCCTCCTCGGCCCGGCGCGCCATCTGGGCCAGGTCCGGCGGCAGGTCGAACGGGGTCGCTCGACGACGGAGCACCAGCGTTGCTAGGTCACGGAGCAAGTCAAGCGGGGACGCCCGACGGTGGCGGCCGCTCCGATATCCTCCGCGCCGCCACAGCGCCTTCGGCCGTGGCGGCACGAACCGTGCACCCGTGTCCGGACCCGCAGGTCCCGCCCGCTGGCGGGTGCCCGTCGCCGCCGTCGCCCGTCGGTGGACGGACACAGCCCCAAGCCTGCAGCCCTGACCTGGGCCGCCGGCGCGCTGGCGGACAGTGCGCCGCGCCGCCCGGAGTGCCCGGCGCCGGCGGCGGAGCGGCAGCCGTCCGCGGTCGTCGTTCGAGATGTGCTGACGCGAGCGGATCTTGAGTCTCGGGACCGGGTCAGTCATCTGGTTGGGCTTCGATGACGCAGATTTGGGGCGAACCCAGCGGGTTCTAGGAGGTGTGTCGAAGTCTGGGGAGTTGCCGATGATAGTGGGAGCTACTTCGGAGTCTGGCCGAGCTCGAGGGCGGATGGTAGAGACATCGGAGGCCTGCGGAGTGCCGGGGTACGTGGGTGGCTGTGAGGAGGCCCTGACAGAACGCCGGGGAAGACACACCACAACCGGAGGAGCGAGAGTCAGCCACAGCAGTGAAACTCCAGCCGCACACAACGTCTGACCTGGCATCCTGCTAGCAATGGCTGTAGCCCAGTGGCCGAAACACATGGACTGAGATTCAGTCGTCAGATCCTGGGTCAGCATCCACAACAGAGAAGTGCATGTTCACAGCAAGAAATGTGATTTGCGGCCACGTGAGCCATGGCCATCTCATCAGACCGCTGGACGAGATTAGAAGCACGTGGCGTCACCCACACGTTCCGATCGTCTCCCGTGCGCTCGCGGGGCTGCTGCACGCGGTGGCGTTCCTGTGACGCGGTGACGCGGCGGGGGTCCTTACTCGAACCGAATCTTGTCGGCCATAATCTTATGTCATCAGTGCAGTCTTCCACGTGTGTGGTAACCGTTAAGTAGTTTGAACGTCTACGCACTTGAGCCATGCAGCCGCCAGTGCATCCGATCGCCTTTAACCCAAGGGTGCAGACTGGCACGTCACTGCGGCTTCGCCGGCGCCGGTGGGAAGGGTGAGGGGACGCACCCGCCAACTCCCTTCTGGTCGCCTCCGTGCTCAGCTCCGCCTCTTCAGCACCGCGCACAGCTCCATCTCTTCAGCACCGCGCACAGCTCCATCTCTTCAGCACCGTGCACAGCCTCACCTCTCCAGCACCGTGCACAGCTCCGCCTCTTCAGCACCGCGCACAGCTCCATTTCTTCAGCACCGTGCACAGCCTCACCTCTCCAGCACCGTGCACAGCCCCTCCTCTTCAGCACCGTACACAGCCACACCTCTCCAGCACCGTGCACAGCTCCGCCTCTTCCGCACCGAGCACAGCTCCGCGGCGGTGGCATCGAGACTGGTGGCCGCGTGCGGATGTGCACAGCTGATCGGCGCTACTCTGCTGACGAACCTGTCCTATCTGGCCGTCTTGGACCTCGCCGGGCTCGGCTCCGCTCGCGGAAGTCACCGGAGCACGCCGCCCGAGGGAGAGTGCCGTGTCACGCTGCGAACACGGCATGGCCGATCCAGGCGACGGTCTGGGCGAGCACCGACGGAGAACACAGCCGAGCTGGCGGCGGTGTGCAGTGGAGGACTTCACCGGCTGGGTAATCTCGTCGGTGCCCAAATGGAATGGGTAGCGAGCTGGGTTGGGTGCAGATTTGAATGGAAATTGTGGAGATGGTTACGCGCAAGTGAAAGGCGTTTTTGAAATGTCCGGGAAATGCTTTAACAAATGCTACACATTTTGATGGAAGAGGAGCACTACACAGGATTTCTTGAAGAAGAGCAAACATTTGCTCTTCTATTATGCATCATTAGCTACATTTGGGCTACATTCTACGTCGTGTGGTGGACAGGAAGTAAACTGCTGTGAAACGTTTACATCGCCTAAAACTGAAATGGTGGATAAATCTATACGGGTGAGTAACGGGCTGATTGGCCTACTTAGGAATGCGCCTTGGGGGGTGTACGCACGTCTCCACGAGCAGCAGATGGGTTAGGTAAAGTGACTCTCGCCAATCAAAGTATGCAGTGTTCAGTGCATCGTGCCAATAGTTGGTGCGCCGTCGAGCTTAGTCGACTCTGTGCTGATTTGCCGGATAGTGGGCGTTCCCGGGCTCTGTTACGGCTGTCGCATCGCCTGGGCGTGCCTGAATGTCCGAGAAGTCAGGCTGATGCCTCTGCACCTTGCTCCAGCCATTTCGCGTCCGAGAGCTTTCATGAGCCCAATTCCACTAAAGTCAGGGGTGTCGGCACCAATGACAGCAGCGCTTGCCAATCTGCTAAGCCAATAAACATACCAACGACATCTATCGGGAAAGCGCGGCGATAAGGCAGGCGTGACAAGTAGCCCAAGACCGCCCACTATCAGCACAATATCGGCAAATAAGCACAAACAGAGCTGACTAAGCCTGACGGCGCGCCAACTTTCGACGCGATGCACCGCACACTGGAGGATTTGATGGGTAAGAGTTTACCCAATTCACCTGCTACCATGGAGACCTGCCTATACCCCCAAGACCCATTCGTAACTAGGTCGGCCGGCCGGCTAGGCACCCGTACAGAATTATCCATCATTTTAGTTCTGCATTATGGAAACGACTCAGAAAAGCTTTCTCTGTCCCAACCTGTAGAATGCCGCTCTAATAAAGCTTATGATGAATACCAGAAGAGCAAATGTTTGATCTTCTCGAAGAAATACTGCACATTGCTACTGATCAGAAAACGCCTTTCACTTGCGCGTAACCATCTCCACAACTTCCATTCAAATCTGCACCCAACCCAGCTCGCCACCCATTCCATTTGGGCACCGACGAGATTACCCAGCCGGTGAAGTCCTCCACTGCACACCGCCGCAAGCTCGGCTGTGTTCTCCGTCGGTGCTCGCCCAGACCGTCGCCCGGATCGGCCCTGCCGTGTTCGCCGCGTGACACGGCACTCTCCCTCGAGCGGCGTGCTCCGGTGACTTCCGCGAGCGGAGCCGAGCCCTGGGAGGTCCAAGACGGCCAGATAGGACAGGTTCGTCAGCAGAGAAGCGCCGATCAGCTGTGTGCATCCGCACGCGGCCACCAGTCTCGATGCCACCGCCGCGGAGCTGTGCTCGGTGCAAGAGAGGTGGAGCTGTGCACAGTGTTGGAGAGGCGGAGCTGTACACGGTGCTAAAGAGGCGGTGCTGTGCTCGGTGCGGGGGCGCCGGAGCTGTACACGGTGCTGGAGAGGCGGAGAAGTGCACGGTGCTAGAGTGGCGGGTGCGCTGGAGAGGCGGTGCTGTGCACGGTGTTGAGGAGTTGGAGTTGTGCACGGTGCTGAAGAGGTGGTGCTGTGCTTGGTCGGGAGAAGTGGAGCAGTGCACGGTGCTGAAGAGGCCGAGCCGTACACGGTGCTGAAGAGAAGGAGCAGCACAGAGGAGGCCGGAAAGGAGCTGGTCGGGTGCGTCCCCTCCCCTTCCCACCGGCGCCGGCGAAGCCGCAGTGACGTGCCAGTCTGTACCCTTGAGTTGAGGCGACCAGGTGTACTGGTAGCGCGTCTCTTAAGTGTGTAAACGTGCGTAATACACGTGGAAGTCTGCGCTGGTGGCCCCAGAAGATGGCCGAGGAGAATCGGTTCGAGTAAGGACCCCCGCCGCGTCACCGCGTCACAGGAACGCCGCCGCGTGCAGCAGCCCCACGAGCGCACGGGAGATGATCGGAACGTGTGGGTGACGCCACGTGCTTCTAATCTCGTCCAGCGGTCTGATGAGGTGGCCATGGCTCAAGTGGCCGCAAGTCACCTTCCTTGCTGCGAACATGCACTTCTCTGTTGTGGATGCTGACCCGGGATCTCACGACTGAATCTCAGTCCATGTGTTTCGGCCACTGGGCTACAGCCATTGCTGGCACGATGCCAGGTCAGACGTTGTGTGCGGCTGGGGTTTCACTGCTGTGGCTGACTCTCGCTCCTCCGGTGGTGTTGTGTCTCCCCCGACGTTCTGCCAGGGCCTCCTCACAGCCACCCACGTACCCCGGCACTCCGCAGGCCTCCGATGTCTCTACCATCCGCCCTCGAGCTCGGTCAGACTCCGAAGTAGCTCCCACTATCATCGGCAACCCCCCAGACTTCGACACACCTCCTAGAACCCGCTGGGTTCGCCCCAAATCTGCGTCATCGAAGCCCAACCAGATGACTGACCCGGTCCCGAGACTCAAGATCCGCTCGCGTCAGCACATCTCGAACGACGACCGCGGACGGCTGACGCTCCGCCGCACCGTCCGCCAGCGCGCTGGCGGCCCAGGTCAGGGCTGCAGGCTTGGGGTTGTGTCCGTCCACCGACGGGCGACGGCGGCGACGGGCACCCGCCAGCGGGCGGGACCTGCGGGTCCGGACACGGGTGCACGGTTCGCGCCGCCACGGCCGAAGGCGCTGTGGCGACGCGGAAGATATCGGAGCGGCCGCCACCGTCGGGCGTCCCCGCTCGACCTGCTCCGCGACCTAGCAACGCTGGTGCTTCGTCGTCGAGCGACCCCGTTCGACCTGCCGCCGGACCTGGCCCAGATGGCGCGCCGGGCCGAGGAGGCGCTGGAGCGGCACGTGGCGCGGCGCGTGCTCAAGTACACCACCGAGTACAGCTGGCCGGCTCTGCTGGCCGGCGCCGGCGTCGGCCTGCTCGGCTATCTGCTGCTTTTAGCCGCCCTGCTACGTCTGCCGCGCGACGGGCGTCGGTCGGGCTGCACCTGCCGGTCCAGAGATGGCAGCACCGGCGGCAAACGGCCGACGCGCCGCGCTCGGCGGGGCCGAGGCGGAGCGAGGCTGTGGGAGCGCGCCGCCCGCCGTAAGCAAGTGCCGTTGCCTCAGAGGACCACGCGCGGCGTCACCAGGTCGGCCTGCCGACAGGCGCGTGCTCGCTGGAGACTGCGCTACACACCTTGGGCGCAGGCTGTACGACTGGCAATGAGGCCCGGGTGAGGACTCGGTTTATACTGACGAACGCACGCAACGCCGCGCCAGGTGACATTAACGAAGCGGTCGTGAGCGAATGACGTGTTATCTCAGATGACGGCAGCTATTAAGCCTGTCGGGGAAGAATGCTTTTCAGGAGTGTAAAAACTCGAGCCTCTGCCACCTAAAACAATTGCTTAACATTTAAAGCACTTCTATGGGAAATATAGTGCGCTCGTGTACAGTGCATGCCCAAATGCCGCCATCATGGATTATTCAACGCGACACTGGACTTGGTATGAAGGGGCTTTTAGGAATGTGAATGACGCACATGTATGCACAAATATCGACCCCGTGGTGAAATATGCGCGAGAGGCAACACCGCTTCACAAGGCCGCACGCGATACCAACATAAGACCGACTATAATGGTATCCACATATCAGTGGCCTACCTTTAATTGTTCCAATATCTGCTGGTAGATAGACAAGTAATAACGGACGAATGTTGCGTCTGGTATTTCAATCAACAGCACATCCTCATAAAACGGTGACAATGCCCACATGTTGAATCATGCGTGAATTGGTCATGCGGGAGCGAGGGCAGGGGAGTGCGCCGCCCGGGGGAGCAGTGCCGCGTCCTCAGAGGACCACGAGCGGTTCCATCGGGGCGACCTGCCGACAGGCGCGCGCTCGCTGGAGACTGCGCCGCACGTCCTGGGCGCGGACTGCGCGGCTGGCAACGAGGGCAGAATAAGGACTCGGTTTACACTGAGGAACACGCGAAACGCCGCACATGGCGACATCAACGGGGCAGTCGTGAGCGAATAACGTGTTCTCCGAGATGACAGTCGCTATTAGGCATGTCGGGGAATAATACTTCTCAAGAATGTAAAAGAATGCCTAACATTCCTACCAATGCCGACCCCGTGGTGAAATATGCGCGAGCGGCAGCACCACTTCACAAAGCCGCACGCGACCGACTGGTATGATGGTATCCATAATCAGTGGCCTGTCTTTACTTGCTCCAATATCTGCTGGTAGATAGACAAGTAATAAAGAACGAAAGGTACATCTGGTATTTCAATAAACAGCACATATTCATCAATTGTTGAAAATGCCCACATGTTGACGAATCATGCGTGAATTGTACCATGTCAACAGCCAGGTGGATGATTGCGTAACGGCATGCTTCAGTATGAAACAATTGCGAGCACACATTTAACGCGATCTATATGAAGCTGGCGCCAGGACGTTGGACAATGACTGTGTCCATAGTAACACACCCAGCACATCTATAATGCGCGTTCCATGACGTCCCCGGGCCTCACCAAGCATCACGGAAGCGTGCAGGCACCAATGGTAACCTTGAGTGAAAGCAATGCCCAGCGAGCCAGCTCTTATGCATGTGGAACCGCGCACGCGCGCCCGCAACTACGCACACTATCATTATCCATGATGTAAACATCGTGTAACAAGACGGCAGCGCGGAGCCCAGAATCGTGTAAATCACAGCGTGCGTCACATGACGTCACTCGAAATCACTGCCGGATGACTGCCCAGCGTCCGTCTCCCTCCGTCGAGTCGCGCCCCCAGCACTCCCTCTGCGCCGGCTCGAGCCTCCATGTCTCCCTCCACCGGCACCCCTGCCGCTCCCCCGACTCGAGCCTCTGCCGCTCCTCCCACCGGCACTCCTGCCGTTTCCCCGACTCGAGCCTCTGCCGCTCCTCCCACCGGCACTCCTGCCGTTTCCCCGACTCGCGAACCCACCGCTCACCGGATCTGCACCTCTGCTACTCCGCTGACCGGCCCGCCGGCCGGCCGGCTGCGGCGTCGGCTCGCCACCCCTGGCCGCCTCCTCTTCCTCCTCCCCCTCCGACGGCGCGGCAGATCTCTTGGCAGCCCGGCCGCCGGACATCGTCGGTTTGCGCTTGGCTCCGGCGGCGCGGCGCGCGCCCACCGCCCTCACGTAGCACACTTCGGCGGCGGCGCCGTGCTCGAGCAGGTACTGCAGCCACAGCATCTGCTTGGTGGAGAGCTGGTCGCCGGGGCCCTTGACCTCGACGATGCGGGCCGTGCCATTGGCCGGGCTCCAGAGCACCAGGTCGGGGAAGCCGCTGCGCGTGAACCTGTCGGCCGCAGACGGCGCAGCGGTGAAGCGGCCGCGTCGCTCTGACCCGCGAGCGGCCGGTGGACCGACGCTGGCAGCGACTGGCGGCCGGCCCAGGCTTACATCGCCTGTCGGTCAGAACGGGGACAGCACACATGCGTACAGCGGGATAACGACAGCGCACAAATGTCCAACGTTGTGAGGGCCCGGAGCGTTTCAATGCTGCAAACAGCCGGCCAACGGCTGGTCTTATATCTAAAGAGCTAAGGGTGTAAGCACGTTTCTAATAATGGAAAACAGATAGGTTTGATGGGGGGACGGGGGGCTGACCTGAAATCTGGCGAGGATAACTGGACCTGAAAATGTCGCTTTAAATCCAAAGAACGTGAAAAAGGAGCAGTCTTTGGAGAACACTGTGAGCAGAGGACGGGGGCACAAACACCCACTTTGCAAGCTAGAAGAGACACGACCTTTCCCAGTGGTTACACCCTAGTATAGAGCTGATCAACCATAAATAAGCGAAGCGCAGCATTAATCATTACAACAAGAAGAATGATCAGCCAAAACCAATGAATGCACCGCAGTGATCCAGTAGTCGGGGAACAGCAGGCCCGAGGCACTTCCCGGTATACTCTAGCACAAGATGGGCCTTAACACAGGACGAAAATATGAACCGATCGAAAGAAGGCGCAATGCTCACCACGAACAGAAATGTGCGGCGCACGCCACTAATCAAACTGTGTTTAGCCATTTTGGGGCGTTCGTTACAGTGGGTTGTCAATTATATTGGGTTTTAACGTAGACTACAATAGTACACCTCGCGTAGCGATTATATTGAACGCCACCAGCTGAAAGCCATGCACCGGTATGCAGATAATTACAAATATAATCTGTCACGTTGCGTTGATCACGATTACGGGACGAGCCACTTTTTCAAATCAACATAAACTATCCCCGGCATACAACAAAGCTGGCGGCCTTTGTCTTCTGCAACAAAACAAGTTCCGACAGTTGCGATTTGTGCCTGGTAAATACTGCAACACCTGTTTCTTGGTTAGATTTAGATTTACCAGCTCCTCCCGGCCGCCGCCGCACACTCGCCAGACAACCTTGGTTAGACTTACCTTTATAAGATCCTCCCGGCCGCCGCCACACACACGCCAGACAACCTTGGTTAGACTTGCCTTAATCAGCTCCTCCCGGCCGCCGCCGCACACTCGCCAGCGGGCCGTTGAGGGCTTACCCCACCGAGCCTCGCGCCACGGCCACCCACCTGTACTCCGTTGCGAGCCGGCGACAGATGGCGCACACGAGTGGCACGCCCAGGCAGCGGAGCAGACCCTCTGCGTGATCGCAGTCGCGGAACACATCCCAGGCGGCCAGCGACACGCAGCCCTCGTGCGCCTGCCAGGCGGCCCGCAGGCGGTCGCAGGCGTCGTCGGCGGAGCCGGCCGCCAGCTCGGCCAGGCGCGTCTCGACGCCCGTCCGGCGCCGCTCGTAGAACGCCGGCGAGTTCAGGTCCAGCGGCAGTGACTGGTACGGGCTGCAGAAGCTGTCCGCCACGTCCACCTCGTACAGCAAGTCCCAGAAGAGCAGCGCAAACAGCGTGGTGGTGGGCGCCGCCTCGCGGTGTACACCCTCGTCGTAGCCGCGCGAGGCGTAGTGATGCAGCGCCAGCTCCTCCACCGAGCACACGGTGACGTCGCTGGCTTCGCCGCCCCCCTCCGGCCGCAGGAACACCATCTTAAGGCCGGGCACGTCCCGCGGCAGGCAGCGCGCCTCCACCTCCACGCTGGGCAGATCGGCCGGCTGTAGGGCGGCAGGCACGCCCGGCGCCAGTCGCACCAGCCGCTGCTCGAGCGCCAGCCGGCGGCCGACGCGCACGGCCGGGTCGTCCAGGGCCGCGCGCACCGCCGCCAGCGCCTCGTCAGGCCTCCGCAGGTGCTGCTGCAGGTTCAGCGCCAGCCGGTCGTGCCACAAGCCGCGGTAGTCGGGCAGGTAGGTGCGCTGCGCAAGCAGGGCGCGCAGCAGGCGTACGGCGCCCTCGTAGTCCTTGCGCCGCTGCAGCAGCTCCACGCCCTTGGTCCAGACGTACATCAGGATGGAGACGGCCGTGAACTTGCGCAGGAACAGCGGGAGCGCGGCGTCGAAGCGCTCGATGGCGGCGTCGTGCGAGAGCTCAACGCACATGTCACGCGAGGCTAGGTAGCCCTGGTACGCCTCCTCCCACTGCTTGGCGGCCATGGCAGCACGCACATCGCGCTCCAGCCGGCTCGCCGTCTCGTAGCGCAGCAGGTCGTCGCGCGTGCCGAAGATAGCCGTGCTCTTGCGTACGGTGACGGCCGGATACACCATGCGCCCCAGGTTGACCATGAGCAGCGTGAGCAGCTGCTGGCTCGTGTCCTCGTCTTCCTCGTACAGCGGCACTGAGAACAGACTGAGCACGCGCAGCAGCACGCGCCGCGGCCCGGCCGCCAGGCGCACGCACGAGCCAAGCAGGGCGCGCGCGCGTCGCTCCACCACGCCGTGCGCCGAGCCCAGGCCGGGCAGCAGGCGCTGACGCTGGCCGTGCTGTGCCAGCCGCTCCAGCAGCGCGTCGCGCCGTCCGCTAGCGGTCAGGTGCAGCTGCTGGCAGAGCTGGCGCAGCTCGGGGTTGTCGAGCAGCGCCGTCAGCTCGGCGGCGCCCACCAGCGCGCGCTCCGAGTCGAGCAGCGCCGCGTTCGTCAGCTGGACCACCGCCGCGCGCAGCTCGGCCTCGCCGCCCACCTCCGCGTAGCGCAGCCGGTCGGAGCGTAGCCAGCCGTGCTTGCGCTGGAACAGGCGCACGTACAGCATCTGCGCCGGCAGCGGCAGCCCGTTGAAGCGGCAGATGACGTCCGTGTCATCGGCGTTGATCAGCGGTCTGTTCAGCGGGTCGCCCTGCACCGACTCCAGAATGAAGAGGAAGTTCTGCAGGTAGTAGGGAATGCTGTGCTGTTGCGGCGACACCAGTCCAAGCGCCTCGGGAACCTCTTGACTGAACTCCTGCGACAGCAGCCGCTCATCCTCCTCGTCAAATTCCTCCTGCACGTCGGAGGAGTCTGCGCCGCTCGCGGTCGCCGCAGTGACGTCACTCGACAGGCGCGGCAGCGCTCTGGGCCTCCGCTCCGCCTCGTCCGACACGAGCTCGCCATTCGTCAACCTCGCCTCCGGCGCCTCGGTCCGATTCGACAGCTCCGTACCCAACGGGTGCGGTGTGACCACGGCGGGTCCGTCACTGCCTTCTGCCGGGCGGTCCTGCGGCGGCGGGGGGCCGTCCGAGGCCGCAGCCGGCGGGCCGTACAGCCTCCGCCTGATCTTGGACGGCGACTTCGGGAGGCGCACAGGGCTGTTCTTGCCGAGTCGCTTTGGCGTGGTCTGAGTCGACGCCGCCCGCCGGCCGCCAGAGGCACCGGACGACGAGGCCGAGCCAGGGGAACCTGTAGCACCCCTGCCCCTGGCCGGAGAGGGACTGGCTGAGGTGCGGTTTTCTGAGAGCAGACTGGCGTGCGCAAACCGACTGACGTGTCGCGACACGGCCGCAGATAGCCGCAGCCGCCCGCCTGGCCGGGCCGCACCGCCGTCCGCGCCCAGCGAGTCGCCGGCTGGCGCTTCAGCAGCGCTGGGGGCGGCCGCGGCTGGCCGCCGGCGCTGGCCGCTCCGCTCGCCCCCTGAGGCCGGGCTCGGGGTCACGGGGTCACGCGCGCCCGGTGTCGCATCCGCACTGCACTCGTCCGCCTCCAGCACGGGCTCGCAGAACGAAGGCGCGAAGGCGGCGACGGAGGCGAAGCCAGCGACGGAGGGCGAGGCGTGCGGCAGGGGCGAGGCCGGGCTGCCGTTCCGCGCGGCCCGCGAGGCGGCGGCCCGGCAAACTGCCACCGCCTTCGGCTTCGTCGCCGGCGACTTGATCTCGGCGATAATTTCCACGTCCGAGTCGTCCGCGGACGCCGCGCAAGTTTGGCGATGCTTACCCATCAGCGACACGTCGATGGTCTTTTCGCAGATGGAACAACGGGAGGAAGTCTTGGAGGTGCCCTTACCGGCCAAGAACATGGCCAGAGTTTGCTGCCCCTTCTCCAGGACCGGCGGACTGCGGAGCACGGTCAGTGCAGGTCGATCCCCTTTTCTGGGCGTCGGCTTGCCCTGTAGAGGAGTCTTACGGCCCATTGTGACTCTGCGTTGCTGTGACTTGCTTACACTACAGAAGGCTGCCCATCACCTCCTTTGTATAGGAACCAACAGGCTCTGCTGCCTTCACTGCTGGCTCTGAAACAAACAGGCATTGTGAGCAGTTTACAAGGTTGAAGTCTGAGGTACACCAACTCATGTCATCTACTTTGCATTATGTTTAATGGAGGGGGTGCATGTACACATTTTTGTAGCTATTAGTGCAAATGCCTGACAAAGTCTAAGTCACTCACAGAGGGCATAGTTTTACAAAATATGTTGGGCAGGTGAGGGGGTTGAATGAGTAGTGACATATGACTAAAAATAACACACAAAAATGTACCTAGCATGGGCATCTCCCCAGATGTTGAAAGCTACTAAGGTTGGTCTACCTCAGGTTCTGCCCACATCCTCACCAGTAATCTTGCCGCCTGACCTGTCTAGATTTGGCTAAATAAATATGTTTAGTTAAATGAGACCCTTACAAGAACAAAACCTGCCATGATATTTTTAAGCATTGCAAGAGAGGGACTTCTTAATTTTTGCACCTTTGTCTGGTAGTCCATTCCAATGATTCACTACTCTTTGGCTAAATGACATCTGTCTCTTTATAAATCTGCCCCTGATTTTGCTACCTGAATCTGGTTTCCTTTAAGTCTCAGCCTAATTTCCAGTGCTCCTTGTAGATCTACCCTATCTATTCCTTTGATGATCTGGAATATCTATATCAGAGCCCTTCTATGTCTATGACATTACAGTGAAAACAACTCAAAGGCCTTAAGCATATCCTTGCATGTTAAGTTTCCAGTCATATTCATCATCCTATTTGATATCCACCACACTCCATCCAACCTGTCCGCATCATTTTGTAGGCATGGGGACAAAGTGTGTACATAACAGAGATCTAGATTTAAATCACCCTCATCTGGAGTGTCACTTTCTGAAATTTGCTGGGGGCCTGGGCAAACTGAGTTGACCTGACTTGCCCCCAACCCTGATTTCTCAAGATTTTGATCACTTTTTAGACCATAAAAGTGCAAAATTAAAACAAAACACATATCTGATTAGTTCCATAATTAACTTGATGTTGAGGAATAACTACCAACTGCATATTGGACACTGATGAGAAATGATAAATGACAATGGTAGCAAAGTATTAAGGTACCTAGTGTACCAGCAGTCCAGACACTTGCAGCATTTCCTTGGTCCAGTATTCCCTTTTTGCTTTGACAGGGGTGTTCTTCAGTGTTCTTCCAGTGATCCCTTGACAGAGGTGACTGGAAGAACACTGAGGGGGATCGAGTTAATATTAGGGGTGGGGTGGGGTGCTCGACCCCTCACCGAAAGTATACAAGTGGCCCTTGGTCCCAACCATCGGGCTTTACGCCCATCCGGTGAAGAACAACACTCAAAAGCCCTGCACGTACCAATTTACAATACACGCAACTTACATCTTCTGCGCTCAGCTCCACCGCGTAAACGCGCACCGGTTTACGGCAACGCGCAGGGCAATAGAATTACTGGCAACGCATGGCCCCGTGACGGTCCTAGACGCGGCAAGCGACAACCACTGCACTCCCAGCTAGCGAGAACGCGCCAAGACGTGAAATGCCCGGGGAAATGGAATGTCACATACTCGCCACTTTTGGACGTAAATGCTGCTGCACCATAACAAAATTTGGAGCACCACACTTTCCCTCTCACTCGACGCTCTACACAAAGCTTAGAAGAGATCAGTAGAGCAGGCAAAGAGGGGGGAGGGGGGGGGGGAGCACAGGGACACTTGTGCAATTGCGCTGGCAATTGTAGGTCCCGAGGGGCCCTTTAGGTCCCTCGGGCTGTACAATTACGGGCCCGATTTGCGGGCCCAAAGGCCCCGAAAATCCAGCCAGAGGTCTCATTCAGGAGTCCCGGCCGGCAGGACCGGGCATTCAAATGCCAGCCAAAGGGCCTTGCGCACTGATCAGTCGATAAGGGTCTATATTTCGATCCGACGCCACCAGTAACGCAAAGTCGGCTCCGTGGCGGCATGGGCCTAGGAGCCCACTTCCCAAGCAGAGACAAAGCCGGAAACACCGACTTGCATTGCTAGGGCCCCACATTGCCTAACAGGGGCTCTATGTTGTCAAGGGGCCCCAAGTCAGCCAGAGGCAGTGTTTGAGAAGACCCAAAAAGCCTAGAGGGCCCACCGGGTCCGACTATCAAGGGCCCGATTGGAAGGTCTAATGGCATAAAGGGCTGGTCGGAGTCTTATTCAGGAGCCCAGACCTGCAAAGACAGACCCTCAAATAACGGCCAGAGGGCCCTTCGCACCGATCGGAGATCCCCTGAGCCGACATGGGCCTATATGTCGGCCAAGTACCACCGTACCACGTAGTCGGCTCCCTGTCGGTAGGGGCATGAGGACCGGGGGTCAGTGATTTATACTGGTCGGGGGCCTTGTACCTGTCAGGGGCCCACAGCACGTAGCAGAGGGTCCTATGCTCGCGAGGGACCCGACCCGACCGAGGAAAGTGTTTGATGAGGCCCAAAGGGGGGCCCGGGCGACCCACCGGAACCGACTATCACAGGCCCGGCTGGAGGGCATAAGGGCTCGAAGGGCTGGCTGTAGGTCACATAAGGAATCACAACCCGTGGGTCGTGACCTAAATATCAGTCAGGGGTTCTCTTGTACCGTTTTAGGAAACCCCCAAACAATACGGGTATCTGAGTTGGTCAGAGACCACGAACACCGAACAGTCGGCTCCATGTCTGTCTGAGCCATTGAGACATATTTCTCCAGCAGAAACGAGGTCGAGGCCCGCGATTTGCAATGTTGGGGTCCCTGACACGATGAGGGACCTCTGTGTCGGTTAGGGGCCCAGTGCCGAACAGGGGTCCTGTGGCGGCAAGTGGCCCTGAGTCGGAGCGGTGTTTGAGGGGCTCGAAGAGGGGCCGAAGGGTCTTTTGAGGCCAAAGATCAAAGGCCCGATAGGATGGCTAAAGGGTCCAAAGGGCTGGCTGTAAGTGACATTAAGGACCCCCGCCCATAGAGCTGTGATCCCAAAAGTCAGTAAGATGATCTTTCGCACCGATAGGGACCCCCGGGGCGTAACGTTCCTCTATTTCGGCCAGACATCACGAACAACGAACAGTCAGCTTCTTGTTGGTCTGAGCTCTACTGGTCCACTTCCCAAGCAGGGACAAGGCCAGGCCTGCCATTTACATCGGTCGGGCTCCTGCATCGTTCAGGGTCCCCCAGTGCCTCACAGGGTATTTGGTGCCAACGAGGGGCCTCGAATTGATCAGGGGAAGATTTTTTCAACAGCGACGGAAGCCCGAATGACGGAGGGTCTGCATACAAGACTGCCTAGACATTTATTTGTGAAATGACGGTGGGCCTTCCAACCCTTTTTCAACATGGGCCCGCTAAGCCCAGCTGGAGTCTGTGCCAATTGTTTGACCACCTGCGGTGAGCAGGGATATTGTAGCCTTAATGAGGTTCATGCATCAATCTAGAGTCAACTGCGCGGGTCAGAAGGCCTCTCGCGTCAGGGAGCTGACCAATGTGATATTATGTATCCCTCTACGGGCCTCCAGGTCGACCAAGGCATGCAGCCCCGTGTCGCCAGAATGACCGCCAGAGAACACGCCGCGATGGGACAGAATGGCCCTTCAGCTCTTGACCGGGAACAACAATGTGCCCCGTAGCGTTGTTCTCAAGGGAGCCCTTTACCGGAAGGAAACAAGAGGTATCATTAGTACTGAATAGAGTGGGTCGAAAAGAGCTTAAAACTCACAAGGCCATCCCATGTTTCCCTGAGAACGTACGTTATTTTGCAGAATCGACTAGCGAGACAAATACCATCATAAGGTTTGAGCCTGCGCGCCGAGTGCCGACAGTGTACTCGTTAACGCGCCTGCGTTAACCACTACGCGTCCGTGAAACCACAGGTACGGGGTTCGATTCCCGCGGTGCCCACCCTTCACATCGGGGTGAGAGGCTCGCGGCACCGTGTTGCGCCAGCAGCTGAGTACGTCATCAAGCCCTAATGACACGCCCGTAATCTCGGGGAGCAATGAAAGCGATGGTTTGGGTCGCGGTTTCCGTAACACCGACCGGCGTTGGCCACTGCAGGTGGCGGCGGCCAGGTGGCGGGCGCCGAGCCCATAATAATGACTGGTAAAAAAAATGTTTCGGAATGTCATTCGAAATTAATTCGCACGGATCAAAGGCTACACTGGGTGGATCTTTTATTTACAACTTTGAGGCTGTCCTTTGGACAGATCAACAGTTAGAACAACGCGGCAAATATAATTTTACCTTTGCTCATCCAGTTCCACAAATAGATTCCAGCACCACTTCACGGTGCTGTGAAGACTAATACGTTATTTTCATCAGTCTTAAAACCGCACAGGTGAAATAAACGCCAGGAATATGTCTAACTGTACTACGTGGTGTCCAACAGCGTTCAAAGCTACTTCTTTCGGCTGCGTAACTATTTTCGTCCACCTGTTGGCCACGGCCTACTGTGAGCCGCGGAACCGACGCTGCGCGGCCTAAGGAGACTGCAACGTATGGTGTCGAGTTTTTTTCTGTCTAAGATAAGCGAGCGTGCACGCTCGAAACTGCGTTACATAATTTGCACCAATAATCCCTTCTGACTGAATGTTGAAGATATCCAGCCAAATATGGCATGGTCATGTTAATGCAGGTTGTTGACCCATTTTGATCTTCAGTCTACATTCGCGGAATTCTTACTATTTCTTTACGACCCAGATGAAAATTCTAACAACGTCTCTGAGTTTTATCGCTTTTAGAAGAGTCC